CCCCCCCCCCCCCCCCAGATCTCATAGAAATTTTGGTTCATTAAGGGCAAAAGAAGCCTTATGCTCATTAGCAAGCTTGGGAACTAAATCTCTTTGAACCTTCTACATTTCCCCACAATTAAAGCAGGGACTGCAGTTACAGTGACAGGAACGTTATGCATAACCTCAGTCCAGAGCATAATAGCGTAAAGAAGTTCAATTCTGGAGGCAAAGTTCAAGTCAACATCTAATGCTTATTCATAGATGCTTTGTGAGGGGGCCAGAAAATGTTTTATTCCTAAAGGAAAACAATATGCCATTTAGTTTCACACTTACTAGCCAAATATCTGGAGCAAGTTTAAACGCAACAACGAATCTGTTGTGTTTCTGAGGCTGGGGGTGGGGTGTACAGCAACTATGAATTAACTGATTCAACCAAACTTTACTTTCCCATTCCTATTGAGTGAGATAAAACTATCATGTGAACAATGCAAAACTGCTTTGCTTCCAGGTCAATTACTGTGCACAGAGTATACAAAATTCAGAGTATACAATCTTATGTATCCTACAGAAGAATATGGATTATTTGGGGGGATTGATGGTTACACATTCTGTTGCGCTGCTGAGGTACTACATACATGCACATGAGAGCACAGCCGTTGCACACCATTATCAGGCGCCCCCTGATATATTAGATCTCATGATGGATGTTCAAAACAGTTAAAAGGCACTTGTGTAATATATAGGATACAATATGATGTGGAAGCTAGTGACTGACAAGTCTCAGTTACAGGAACTTTCTTGATCACATATCAAATGTCATGAAACAGAACTGAAAACTATCTTTTCAAATGTTATGTCGCTCATGCAAGCAGGTGATTCCAATGAATCAAGAAGTGGCCCCCCAGATGCTTCCAACATCACTCACATTTTTAAAATTCTCAGTGAAGTCCCATCTGTGGATACTTGGGAGTCATTGATGGACAAGACAAACCTTTCTACAAACCTGAGAAAAAGCCCAGGTTCGTAGAAAAATCTGGGGGGAAATACACCAGGGGTTAACCTCCCCACCCAAAATAAGACAAGCAGTACCTATAGCATTAAGAAACAAACACCCTGGACTGTCGGTTTTGGCGTTCTAATGGCGGATGCATCTCTCGGGAGCTCCCGAGGACGTGATCCGTGAGCCAGTGGATGAGAGGGGGTGCGATTGTACACACGCGCCCTGGAGCCTTTGCAAAGGGCTCCTAGCCATGGGGCGCGAAGGATCGCCTCTCCCCCAGCACGCCACCAGTGGATTGAGGCGTTCCAATGCCCAGATGGTCTTGCCGCTGTGTTCCAGTACTGGATTCAGAGATGCACACCAGGAAAAGTGAGTGGAGGTCAAGCGTTTTACACGTTTGATGGCGAGATCTACATGATCTACATTGAAAGTGAGTTTGGTTGAAATGAGAACCTGAGAGATGGCTGAAAGTCCCCCCTAAACTAAGCAAGAGGGGGCGGGAAACCCCCCCCCCCGGAAATAAAAATGGACTTAAAGCATGCTTTTTAATGGGGGGCAGAATTGAAAGCAAAATTGGACTATAGTAAGAAACTTACAAGAAAATTACAGGTGATTTGCAGACTTTAGAGACTTTTGGCAAACTTTGTTAAAGGTAAACAGCTTCAAAGATGTCGCTGAAGAAGACGGAGAAAGATAAGCAAACGAATCTTAAGTTTCCTTCAGGAAGTGCTAGCCCAGCGAGTGTGGTCACGCGACTGGGAACAACCACAGACTTCTCTAAGATGCTAACAGAAGAATTGCGATCCCTGCTGGAGCAAATGAAGACACTCAATCAAAATTTCACTGCACAGCAACAGCAACTGGATGAGACTTAAAAAAAAACCCAGCGCAAACAGCTGAGAATTTGAAAGAAGTGGATGCCAACACCAGAAAGCTTAAAAAGGAAATGCAAGATATGGAAAAGAAGAGAAAATCTGATGAAGCCCAACTTTTAAGAAGATTTTGAGTGATGCTTTGGGACTGGTGGCAGATTTTAAAGCGGATTTTCTTCAAGGCGAAATGGATGTGATCTATAGGTCATATTCAGAATATATAAAGAAAAATAATCTGCCCGGTGAGGTGGTGGTGAGATTCTCCAGAAGACAGGTGAGGGACCAGATATTAAAAGCAACGAATGGAACTACCCTTAAAATTGATAGCAAGGAGATAAGAGTTTTGAAAGACATTCCCTTTGAAATAAGGGGGAAAAGGAAAAAATACAAAGACTTGGCTTTGTTTTTACAAAAGAACAACATACCCTACAAATGGATCGTCCCCGAAGGCTTACTCTTTAATGTTAAAGATAAGAGGGGGGAAATTGACTCTGTTATGAAAGCAAGAGAGTTTCTGCTGCAACATTTGGATCCAACAGGAGAAGAGCAACAAGGGGAGTGATGATGAAGCACTTACTGGAGAAGATTCAGATTCGGAACGGGAGGCGGCTGCCCAAAGGCAAGGATATCGATTGAGGGAAAGAAGAGGCAAATGAGAAGCTAATTTTCTCTGAAGTTTGACTATTGTTTCTTATTATTTAACCATTCTTGTGCATGGTTCTTTACTAAGTCAGAATACCTGGACTTGAATTATTTAAGCGATGTTAATGATCACCTACAATGTAACAAATTACTCTTTATTTCATTCAAAGCTAATTTACTGTAAGCATTATATGACCCCCCACCTTTATTTCATTCAAAGCTAATTTACTGTAAGCATTATATGACCCCCACCTCTTGGGTTTTTAGTGGTTTATCTTTACTTTCTCCCGTAGTTTATAGTTTTCCCTTCCATATTTTTCTTGTAGTTTTTAGAAATAAAAAATTTTGGGGGGAAAAAGAAAAGAAACAAATGCCCTCAGTGGTCAGTGCTAGGCAACCACAATGGTATAGCTACTATTCAACAGCAATCATTCCACAAAAGACAGTGTAGTATAGTGGTTAGAATTTCAGATTAGGACCTGGGAGACCCAGGTTCAAATCCACACTCTGTCATGGAAGCTCACAGGGTAATCTTGGGCCAATTACATATTCTCAGTCTCACAGGGTTGTTGTGATAGATCAAGGGGTAGCCGTGTTAGTCTGTCTGTAGCAGTAGAAAAGAGTAAGAGTCCAATAGCACCTTAAAGACTAACAAAATTTGTGGTAAGGTATGATCTTTCGTGAGTTACTGCTCACTTCATCAGGGTTGTTGTGAGAATGAAATGGAGAAGAGGAGAATGCTGTAAGCTGCTTTCGATCCCCATTATGGAGAAAGGTAAATAAATAATAAATAATGCTGACAATGGGCTGTAGATAAAAAAAGATAGATTTGGCTGGTGGGTGAGAAGAAGGAAGAAAAAGGTGAGGATACTGGGGTTGCCAGGACGAAGGAAAGAAGAAAGATTATATGGAAAGAGATGCAGGGGAAAAATAGGTATTCTCTACAAGTCCTTGTGGGTTTCCCTGGCACACAAAGGGGTCCAGCCCAGTGTAGTAGCCAGCACCACAAGGTTTTCTTGGAGAAAGTCTGACAGAGGAAGGAAAGGAAGGAAAGCTGAAGGCATGTGGGCAGAAAAAGGTAGGTTAGATGGGGGGTGGGAAGGAGAGAAGGCAGCAGGGGAAAGGAAGAGGCTATGAGAGCTTTTAGGGAAGGTA